GCCATGCTGGCTGGGGAATTCTGGGAGTTGAAGTCCACCCATCTTCAAGCTGCCAAGGTTGAGAAACACTGTTGTAAAGTAAGAGCAGAATCTTGAAAACTTGTCCAAGTTTCTCTCTGTCCCATCTTGTACTAAGCACAATCAAGGCAGGGTTATTTGAAGTTGCTTTCCCAGGACTGCTAATTTCTTCTCCAGCTACCAGAGTCCCAAAAGCTAAGAAAGGCCAAAGGTAACGTTAATCCTGGATTTTGCAAGCTCTGTTCCATGGTCGTTCCCACCAATATGTCGAATCCTTAAAGCTACCCCCAGGTGGAGATCTGTGTTTTTCATTGTATTAATCCCGTCTCCCTATCCCAGGAAAGCGTCTTCATGAATCACCTTCCTTCATGCAATATCATTTAATCTTCCGGTGAGATATCAGGTATTAACAGACACAACAGCGTAACAGGAAAGTGGAGAGGCCTCTTTTAAATTGTTTTAAAAATGCATGGAAAGTATAATTTTACTGGATTAACCAAGGGAGCCCCCCTCTTTCTAATCTCTTCTGCACCCACTTCCCAGTGGTTTGCTCCAGCTTTCCACCACCTCTTTGAAGGATGATGGGAATAGGGTTGGCGTTGCTTGAAGGAAGCATTCAGATCAGTTCCTAGGCTGGGCCAGATGTGGGCATCCACCGGAGGGTCAAAAAAGTCAAGATGGCAGGCCAAATGGTTCAATCCATGCATGGTTGTGGCTGCCATTTTGACTCTTTTGACCTACTCCCATGGACACCCATGGGCCAGTTGTCTCTCCACCTTCAACCTGGAAAGCGATGCTTTCCAATCTGACATTTTCCAGCTAAATTAGGATGACATCCCCAAATAAACCACCATTGGCTGGTTACTCTCACTCCACTGATATAAGCAGGTTTAGTTCCAAGCTGTAATTTTATCCCTGAAATATAAAAGAGAATGCAGGGAGGGAGTTAAAATAAGGTGGGAAGAAAACAAGAGAGGCTGCAGACAAATATATTTCATAATCCCAATAAGGCATGTTTCTTCTTTTTTAATCAAACAGACAAAGGCGAAGAATATCACCCAAAGAAGTATCATGAGGACTAGAATATCAGCACATTGATTATGACAGCGCATCTCCTGTTGTAGTGGAAGAATGAAGTTGCCAATGAAAAATCTGAGCCGAAGGTGAAAGATTCGTTTGAACCCCCTTGGGCAAACGCTGTTTCATTTCTCAGCGAAAAGAAAAATAACACAGAACTTTTAATTATCTTTTTCCCTGCAAAGAAAGCTTACCAGGAAAATGGCAGCTTCATATTGATCCTGCCTTAGGTGGCCATCCGTCCATAATCCCTCTATAATCCTGAAGCCATATTGGTATCTGAAGTGTAAGAAAACAAAATAGGAAAAGCAAAATCTCAAAAGGAGCTAGAAGATCCGTTTAGTTGAACAATCAATAAGAACTGCATATTAGTGACTAATGTAACAAGGGTTTTGGTATCAAGAGATAATCTGCAGAGCTATCGAAAAATTTTGCAGGGGAAAAACCGTTCGGATGAGTTCCAGGGCAGTTTCAGAGTTCATAAAAGGGTGGAGTGTATGAACATGATAAAAAGGATATCAAGGAAATGTTAATAGTCCTCAAGAAGATTTGCTTGGGAAAAACACTCTGTGACCCGGCCTCACCATCACCTCTGTCTTCCCATCTAAAGCAGACAGAGTTCATTCACATACATGGCGGTTGCAAGAAAAGGGGACCACCACGTGATGAGGCCAACAGGTTAACGCAGTTCCAAACTGCACCGAGAAAAGAGGAGTTTTCATAGGAGATGCCAAAAACTCGAAGGCAGATGGGATCGCAGGAGAGAGACGTTTGTGAAAATGCAGGCAGTCCAAAGATGGTTCATAATTCTTGGGGAATTCAGATTAAGAAGGAAATAGAGATGAGTACAGAATGGAAGCTCTCCATGGGAGAGGGTTTGGCCCTGCATTTGGGGTCTCTGCATGGAGACAAGTCGCCGGACGCAGCCGAACAAAAGCACCAACCAAGTCCAAAGAGAGATTCCAATTTTCCTCCAGAATTTCAGCCGGACGACAAACCAGGGAAGGTCGCCATACGTGCCAGTAGTCTTGTGGACGCCTCCCAAATTAGCATCAAAGAGGAAGATCTAGAACACCCTGTGTGCAAGCGTGCGCACCACCAAAACCCCGTCCTGCGTCTGGCTCAAAGGATCAAAAAGGAAGCCGACGTGAGCGGAGAGTCCGCCCTGGAGCCAGAGCTTGGGGGGAAAGTTGGCCCGCCATCGGTTTTGCTCAAAAGTCACACCACTGCTGTTTTTGCAAAACACTGTGGCGTTGCCAAAGGCAAGAAAAATAGCCCCATAGTGCAGGAAGATCAGAAAGGAGAGAAAATATTCGCCTGCCCGGTGTGCGGCAAAGAATTCAATCAGAAGTCTAACCTCACCCGGCACCACAAAATCCACACCACGGAAGGGCCGTACAAATGCCCCAAGTGCGGGGAAAGTTTCCGCATGAACCGGCAACTCGTCCGGCACCAGCGGATGCATCTGAGCGACCCGTTCAAATGCACGGAGTGCGGGAAAAGCTTCAGCCGGCGCTCCAATCTGATCAGGCACCAGAAAATCCACACGCGGGAAGCCCCTTACCAGTGTCCCGAGTGCGAGAAAACATTCAATCAGAAAACGAATCTTTTCCGACATCGGATGATTCACATCCAAATGGGCCCTTGCAACTGTACCAAATGTGGGAAGCTTTTCACGCAGAGGAAGAATCTTGTCAAGCATCAAAAGCTGCACCTGAGCGAGGGGGCCCACAAATGCTTTACTTGCGGGAAGCAATTTCGGCTGAAAAAATACCTTCGGCGACATCAGAAAATCCACAATCGTGAGGCACCAAGTATTCATAAAACTCAGGTGGAGTGACTGGGTTTCTGGCAAGAAGAACTGGAATCCCGGGCTAGTGGAAAACTCAGAATGGCAGTACAGCGCGTCCTCGCTTAGTGACTGCCTCATTTAGCGACCATTTGCAGTTATGATGGTCATGAAAAAGTAACTTTGCGACCAGTCTTCGTATTTACGACCTTTGCAGGTCTGTAAAGCAAAGGAAAGCTGAAGGAAGATTGTAAGCACAGTTGTGGTTTCACTTAGCAACTGCTGTGTTTTACAGTCATGTTGCCGGTCCTAATTGTGGTCGTTAAACAAGGACTCCGTGTAGACATACTTAGATATGGAGCTGATCCTCAATGAAATACAGATTTCAATTGGTTAATTAACAATATTCTTTGCAATCTGCTGGGAGTTAAAGCAGTGTGTTTTCACGATGTGCATGTGCTACTTTGAGGGACTAATTTTGTGTGTATTCTCCAGGAACACAAAAGGTAATGCTGAAAGGAATAGAATCCATGTTCTGCCCCATGGAGGCGTGGAGGGTACCCAATTTCTAGTTGCCAAGATACTTTCCAAAGAAATCAAGTTGGAAAACCCAGTAGCTAATTTGATTTCTGTTGGTTAAACATGTTGACAGCTTTGTTCTGCTGAACAATTTACCTCCTCGTCCACCACTAACAAAAATTGTGCAAAATTAAGCGAGGTTATAAAAATCTGGATTTGCATAAGATGTACAAGATGATTTCAGGGTTGTTTTTGATGGAGAGCTACATATATGTAATTTTCTTTAGAAACTCAGCCCAGGGACCATGTTGTTAAAGGAGGACTAGGTAGCCCCACTTCCTGTCATCTCTAGCCAAGATGTTAGGCCTTGTGGGGTAAACCAGACAGGAATCACAACCAGATGAGCTAATTTCACTTTAGTGTAAAGCTACACTGACAGAATCTTGCAAGTCTGAAAGTACAATCCTCCCGCTGTCTCCTTTACAGCCCGCGAAACTAGGGAGGGTCCCTTCTGAGCCTCTTACCCCACCCACTATCCAGCTGTGGGCTATGCCTTCTCTTATCTGACCTTTCCCTTGGCAGCATCTCTGCCCAGTCTCCCAAGGCCTTTCCCACATACCACTACACAACATGGCTTATGGTCAAGGACAAGGGGAATTCAAAAGCATCTGGAGGGATTCTGGTCCTTGATATAGTCCTGCCAGGGCCTGAATAAAACTTGATCTCGATTCTGCTTCCTGAATTATGCAGTAAGATTCCTCTTTGCAACTATCTAAAGGAAGCCAGGAAGTTGTGTCTAGAAGTTGGAGCCAAGATGCACCAAAACTGAGGTCAGGATCTAGCCTAACTCAGACGACCTTCCTAGCCCTTCCAGTCTAGGTGGGAATCAGTGGCCAACTCGGGTGGATAGACAGTCCAAACATACCATGAAGACCACACCCCATGCAATAGCCCAAGAATAGCCTCAGGAATGTGTTCCTGATTTTTGGGGGGAGGGGGCAGACAATAATTGACAAAAAATGTGTTACAGGCATCTGAAAGTGT